ATCTGTACCACGAATGGATACATTATTGATCTTGCCAGGCCAATGAAAGGTACTCTTAATGATGCCACGATACTTCAACATATTTTACAGGATTTAAATAGACTTCTACGTATTTTAAAAGAAAAAGATGTTTTTATTCTAGACCATGGATTTAGAAATATTACAACTTTTTTAGAAGAAATAGATTTTAAAGTACTGATGCCAGCCTTAAAAGAAAAGAGAAGTCAACTTACAACTAAAGAATCGAATGAATCAAGCTATGTTACGAAACTTCGTTGGGTTGTTGAAGCTATACATGGAATTCTTGCACAAAAGTATAAACTGTTACATCATCAATTCAGAAATCAAGCTCTTTTAGATGCTGGAATATACTGTCAAGTTGCTCGTTTCATTCAAAATATCACTGGATCACGACTTGATTTAGACAATAATAAATTAGATTTAATTGTAGAAAGAATGAAGTCACAGAATAATGTCATAAATTATTTAGCTAAAAAAATAGTGGATTCAAACTACAATCAGAAATCAGGACCATTCAAAAAAATATGTTCTTCTGATTTACTTGACTTTCCAGAACCGGGATTGGAAGAACTAGTCTCGGTCTTCACAGGATTCTATCAATTACAGCAAGCTTTTTCTTTTTAAGAAGACACGCTTGAGGATAATAATACTCTTTAAATAAGTTTCTTAAAAGCTGATCCAGGAATTGTCAAATTTGAAGTCAGATCTAGGCATATTAATAGCAGAACTTACAAATGTTACATTTATTACAATACTAATGATGATAATATAATTGCAATGAAAGGATACTGCTGCAGCTGTACCAATGGCCTACGAACAATTGGATGTTTCCCTTATGTTGCTGCGCTTCTGTATTATTAATCATGTGGCAGAAACTTGTAGAACGTGATTTGACTCGCTGAAGTACTGACTAATCTTTTTAACATCAATAACGTGTATCGGGTGATCAACGAGGACAGTGATGAAGATTAGAGTTCTGATTCATTTGTAATGCAGAAAAGTATTTATATTTTTATTCAATTAAATGATACACTGTTTGATTCGTCAAGGCTACTATAAAGAATTTTTTTGCAGCGCAGATGCAAGTGACTTTAGAAAAAATCAAGAAATTCCGTAAAATATTTTATACGTCCATGCTTAGTATAAAACACCTTAAAACTCAAAATATCATCAGTGTTATAATGTGAGTCAAGGCAAAGATTCACATTAAAAACCTAACGCGCCATTTACAATACCTCAACGATGGTGAAGAAATTTATGAAAGATATTACGATTCTTCAAAATACTATCAGTAAACATTGCTTAAGCTTAATCATAAAGTACTTTATTAGAACAAAGTTCGTTATGTCGCGTACTTGGGGGACTGGAATTTTAAAACCGACAGATTTTTTAAAACGAAAGTGGTTCACCCGACGTCTCTTCCTCTCAAGTTTCCCCCTTACCCCGTCCCCCTCACCTACTGTTCTCTACACACTTCCCCTCCCCCCACTATATATGTATATCTGTAAACCGTGACGTGTTACTCTTCCGCACACCTTTGCCCAACCTACCCCCTCACACTCCCAAGCAATTAATTTTTAAACAAATTTTAATAGTATTTTCTCAAGTTTCCCCCCTTACCCCGTCCCCCTCACCTACTGTTCTCTACACACTTCCCCTCCCCCCACTATATGTGTATATCTGCCAACCGTGACGTGTTACTCTTCTGCACACCTTTGCCCACCATTCCCCCTCACACTCCCAAGCAATTAATT